CATGAGGAGGGCGAAGGTGATGGAGAGGAGAGCCCCATGGGCGATGTACGCCGCTGTGCTGCTGCCCTCGCCTGCTGTGGTCGTACCCTTGATGAAATCGATCGAGGCTGATCCGCTGGCGGGATTAGCATGGGGCATACAGCGGAGGGGAGGGGAGGGGAGGGGTTTACGAATCATGTAGGCCGCTGTGCTACTGCCCTCGCCTGCTGTGGTTGTGCCCTTGATGAAACCGATTGAGGCTGACCCGCTGGGGTGTTAAGAAGGGAGGATATTCGGGACAGGGGTTGGGAGAGGCAGGGGGGATAAGTGCGTTGACAGGTAAATCAGACCGATGGGCACGGGTGAGCGTGGCAAGGAGGAAGGAGGAGTTGGCAGGAGTTTGGGGGGGTGGAGGGGTGGGGGTAAACGGGGGGGAAGGAGGGGAATGGGCCTGGGGGGGAAGAGTGGAGAATGCTTGACTTACCATGCTAAGCCATGCCACTGTGACGCTCACAAGTTGCTGGCGTGGAAAGCGAGGGAGGTGGAGCCATCAAGCGAGGGAGGTGGAGCCATCAAGCGAGGGAGGTGGAGCCATCAAGCGAGGGAGGTGGAGCCATCAAGCAAGGGAGGTGGAGCCATCAAGCGAGTAGGCCCAGATGATGGTGGTGGTGGTGGCTGCATGCATGCCACTCCCACACCATGGGACACATAGGCCATGCCATGCACTGCAATGAAATGCCACGCCAGGCCACGCCATGCCACACCATGGAACACCATGGCACACCATGGCACACCATGGCACACCATGACATACCATGACATACCATGACATACCATGACATACCATGACATACCATGACATACCATGACATACCATGGCACACCATAGTGCAAAAAGGCCATGCCATGCAGTTGCTGGCGTGGAAGGCGAGGGTGGGCCCAGATGATGGTGGTGGGGAAGTTATCAGGCGACTAGGACATGCCATGCCATGCCATGCAGTGCAATCGCTAGCGACTCACTAGTTGCTGGAGTGGAAAGCGAGGGTGGTGGAGCCATCAGGCGAGTAGGCCCAGATGATGGTGGTGGGACCATGTGGGTTGATGGGCACATGCCCCGTGCCCATGCTGCGCGTGAACCTGGGGGGAGGGAGTAGAAGAGCGAGAGAAACGGTCGCATTGGTGATGTCACGCGTGTCACAACATCCAGAAATAACTTAGTCTGCCCATCTCAATGGTGTAACCGTTTTGGCTGGTAACCAACGTGTTGGCAACACTCCCCATGGGTGTAGGCTGCACCGACTGTGACTCATGCCCCGCATATGGAATACGCCCTCTCGCTCCTTACTGTGCTGACTCACTTGATTATAGTGTATCCATTTGCAGTGGTAACCGACGTGTCGGTAACCTTCCACGTGTCAGTTTGCTGCACCGACCCCACGTCACGCCCGCTCATGTAATACGGCCCCACCGACGCCCCATTGGCCAGCGTGCCAGGTGGCACGTTCCCAATGGCTGCGTCAGAGTTGATCATCTGGCCGTCTTTGGAGAAGCCAATGCCGATGTAGCCCGTGGTGGCAACTTGCGCTGCCACGCTCACTGTGCTGTCCTTGTTGACCGCCCAGTGCAGAATGTAGCTGCATCAGACAAGGAGGGGAAGAGAGAGGAGGCAGAGAGGGGGAGAGAGAGGAGGCAGAGAGGGGGAGAGAGAGGAGGCAGAGAGGGAGAGCGATGAGGACAAGAGATTTTCAAGGCGAGCAAAGGCTCACTGTGCTTTCCTTGTTAACCGCCCAGTGTGGGATGTAGCTGGGGGGAAGAGGAGGGTAGGGGAGGAAAGGCAGAGGCGGGAGAGGATCGGGACAAGGAGAGGAGTCACGTCTCACTGTGCTCTCATCTCACGTCTCACCTTTTCTCATCCTCATGCAGGACGTGGCTGGATGAGAAAAAGGCGTGAGGGGAGGTTCAGGAGAAGGAGAGAAGCGACGGCGAGAGTGAATGCAGGCACCTGCGCTGCCATGCTCGCTGTGCTGCACCTGAAACAGCGCAGCAGTGAGCAGAGCAGAGCAGAGCAGAGCAGAGCAGAGCAGAGCAGAGAAGAGCAGGCCAGTTGCAGATACTCCACACTCACGCGTTTTGCCTGAGCTGGGTGGAACAGGTGTATTCCGGGAGGGAGGAGGGGTGGCAGGCTGGCCCCTGTGACTGGGTGGAGGACGAACCACTGCTGCTGCTGCTACCGCTGCCGCTGTTGCTGCTCCCCGTGCTGCCAGTGCTGCCCGTATTGCCGGTGCTGCCAGTGCCGCCGGTGCTGCCTGTGTTGCCGGTGCTGCCTGTGTTGCCGGTGCTGCCTGTGTTGCCGGTGTTGCCAGTGTTGCCGGTGTTGCCGGTGTTGCCGGTGTTTCCAGTGTTGCCGGTGTTGCCGGTGTTGCCAGTGTTGCCGGTGCTTCCCGTGCTGCCGCCACCGCTGCCGGTGGAAGAAGGGCAGCTGTAGTCTATCGCCTGGGATCCCCTGTGAGGAGGAGAAAACACAAAGAGAAGGGTGTAGATGGGTATAGGACGATTAGACGGGTGTAGAAGGGTATGGAAAGGCATGCGGGCATTTAGAAGCGTACACAAGGGTATATATAGATGGGTACACAAGCATGGAGAACACGGAAATATAATATATATGTGTATATAAATATAAATGTAGGGTAATATATAAATCTAGGGTTCTGGGAGATGCTGGGAGGTTCTCGGAGATCCTGGTGGGTTCTGCAAGGCTCGTACATGTTACTCATAGGGTGCTGGGCGAGGGTCTGAGAGCTGCCCGAGTAGGCCCAGATCATGTAGTTGACTCCCTTGCGCAGCACCTTCACATTGCCATCCTTCACTGACCGGGAGAACCTGCAAATGAGAAGTGCAATGAAGGATACATTCTCATGTGCATGGACTAGTGAGAATTGAGTATACCGGAGGGGGTTACTGATATTATGGATGTAAATACAGGAAGGAACACATTGTGTGATGAATGAATTGATTAAAAACCGGTGCTTCAATAATTAGGCTACTGTGACAGCAGTGGAAAAAGGAGCTCAGATTCAAGAAGGGACAGCTAGGGACGATCATGTAACCACTCTTATCGAAGCTAAGTTTCGCTGCAAGCACTGACCTACAATAGCATGGCCCAATCCAGAAAAAAAGAGAGACAAAGAACACTTCAGATGTGTTGAAAAGCTCACTCACTTCATAATGAGCGAGTTATCGGCGTTCGTACTCAACGCGGCAGCGCTCCCGATGCTGAATTTCTTGGTTGGAAGCACCTGATCCAGCATCGGGTTTTCCAGATAATACGTGTCCATTGTCCCGCCTGGCAAATTGCCGATCACCGCATCCCCCGGCACCATCCTGCCGGATGAACCCGACCATCCGACGGCGAACCAGCCGGCTGCAACCTGCCCGGCAAGTGCTTGCGCGGCGAAGTTGACGGTTGTGGAATTGACGGTCTTCCAGTGAAGGATGAGACTGACACGCGGCGAGACGGACGGAGGGACGGAAGGGAGGTTGAGGAGCCTATGGACGAAAAGTTGCAAATTCGAGTTTTTGAAAACAACTAACAACTTTGTGTGACGTCTCTATTCGAGTTTTGAGGAGCCTATATTCGTGGGGTCTCGCCGCGGGTGGACACGACTGCCAGTTGAGGGTTAGAAGGTGACGGTGAACGACTCATTCACGGTAAATGAACGGACGGAATGATTCAGTTTGACGGAGGACGGATTCAGGCATAGACGACAAGCCACGAGATCATTACCTTCCGTCCTTCAATTTGACAGAGTGTTTGTACTCCGGCAGAGACGACGAGTCGCACGTCGCACCGCTGTCGCCCTGTGCGGCGACGAAAGCCGCGAAATGCGCCAGAGTCGCAAGGCACGCAGACAGGAGCACGGCTTGCAGTTTGTTGAACCGTGTCGGCGTCATCTGGTGTGTTGATATACGGCTAAAAACAAACAAATTGGTTAGAATTCGTAGTCCTTCGACTTCTGCAGTGAATAATGAGTAAATCAAAGTCCTATGATGGAAATTTTGGTCGCGTAAGCAACGCCGCTGAACGTCGTACTGTTGCGTTCTATTGTTAAGTTTATCGTCGGAAGAATGGACAGCGTACTGCTGCTTCACAGTGCAAGCGAGAAAGATAACAGTCTTCACGATAATTATAGGACGTCATGGCTTGTCCAGGCTGATAGTAGGTCTCTTAGCTGCTGCTATCTTCAATAATCGTGTGAGTGTCTGGGACAGCTGAATTTAGTATCTTCTAGGCGCTGAATTCATGAGATGTATGGGGTGTGTCACGTGTGCTCCTTTCATACGGCGAGGTCCGATAATGTGCATTTAGGAGCGGTTTCTGGTCCGTTTCTCTACGTTGGGTAGGGTTTCTAAGCAAAGCGATGGGAGGTGCGTGCATGGAGCTTTGGGAATTGCGCGACACGGTGGCCGTTTTGTTCAATTCGTGTTGAATCAGTGAAAACATGACGGGTATCACGCCATCCAGTAACGGTTATATTCTGGATGGGTTGGGTAAGGTTGGAATAGTGCAAAATGGACAGCTGATATGCTAAAATGATCATATTTACATTGATAAGCTAAAATATTTGTAGGAAAATCACGTGCTCTATTTATTAATTATCGAGAAGCAACAATGCAAGGTGCAAACGCACTCATGCACTTGAGCTGTCGTGACCAACCAAAACCATTAGGTCCTCTTTCCATTTCACGTGCTCTATAAGATGAAGCACTCCACCAGGTTCCAACAACACTACCGGTATAAGCTGCTAGGCTAGCCTCTGAACACTCCATTACCATGGTTTAAATATTATGGCCATCAGCAACCGAGCTAACACACGTCATTGTAAATAGTGTGCTTCACACATCACACAAACAACACTGCAATAAATCAACGAGATGAAGGATTCACCCCTACTTTATTAGGCGCAACGCGCGTCAAACGGCTTATGCACACAAACAGCACATTTGCCGTGGAGCCCTTCCATTTAGAAAGCAGCAGGTGTGCCTGTGCCCTTTCCGTCATCTCCATGATCCTTGCGCCCCTTCAATGAAAGAATGCTGTCCGGAATGACCAACACCAGGTATGCCACGCCGAACACGCCCACACACACGCCACAGACCCAGTAGCACCACTGCAGGATACACAGGAGGAAGGATGCAATAAGATTGGAGAGGTATTAGTGCATTCTTGAATTCAGCATCTTGCAGAGTTTCTCCTTTCGCATCCCTCAATCCAGACCCTGTCCCTCTCACCAGCTCTCTTGCTGAAGAACGAACCGTAGTAGAAATAACAACAATAATGATTTACGATAGAAACGTCGGCCGAAACAACATTGGAAAAATGATGAAGATGATGGCGACAACGTCAACAACAACGATTACTACAATGATAATGATAAAAACTACAGTGGAGATACATACATGTTCCAAATACTCACCGTGACGTTTTCCATGAACTTGCTGTGATAAAGATCGATACCCAGGAACATGGCGGCCCATGCAAGCGCAATGGTAGTAGCGCCAATCAAGCAGTGCGCCACCAGCCACATGAAGCGGTTCGGCGCGGTTTTATCCGGTCGCACAAACCCCACAATAGCCTGCACCAGCGCGAGAATGACCGCCGCTAGTCCCACCTGCCCATGCGTCCAGTTCAACCCTTTGGACCCCGCCTGCATGATAATCACAATCATCCCCGCCACCGCCACCACCAGCGCAAACACCTGAATGCCCCGATGCAACTGGAACCCCATCGGCCGCAGGTTCTTTGCGGACTGCTGCTGCTGGGGTGACGGTGCGATCCCATCGGCGTTGGCATGAATGTATGAAGCATGGTTGAGGTTGAGAGGGGCACCATCGGGGCGGTCGGCAAGGAGGAGGCGAGCGAGGAGGATGGCGAGGGGCATGAGGAGAGCGAAGGCGATGGAGAGGAGTGCCCCGTGGGCGATGTACGCCGCTGTGCTGCTGCCGTGCCCGCCTGACACCGTGCCCTTGACGAAATCGATTGAGGCGGAGCCGCTGGGGGGTATAGCAGGAGACATATGGGGGGAGATGGTGGGAGGGACATGGCATGAAGGCGACCGCGGTGGTGCCAGGGGGTGGGATCTAGGGATGTTGGGCGCAGGTGATGGAGAGGAGTGCCCCGTGGGCGATGTACGCCGCTGTGCTGCTGCCGTGCCCGCCTGACACCGTGCCCTTGACGAAATCGATTGAGGCGGAGCCGCTGGGGTTGGGAGGGGAGGGAGGGGACATATGAGGCAAAGGGGGGAATTACATATCATGTACGCCCCGCTGTGCTGCTGCTGTGCCCGCCCGACACCGTGCCCTTGACAAAGTTGATTGAGGCTGAGCCGCTGGGGTAGGGGAGAGAGGGAGACGCAGGGGAAGGAAAGGGAAGGGAGGGGGTTGGATATCATGAAGGCTGATATGCTGCTGCTGATATGCTGCTGCTGATATGCTGCTGCTGATATGCTGCTGCTGATATGCTGCTGCTGATATGCTGCTGCTGATATGCTGCTGCTGATATGCTGCTGCTGATATGCTGCTGCTGATATGCTGCTGCTGATATGCTGCTGCTGATATGCTGCTGCTGATATGCAGCTGCTGATATGCTGCTGCTGATATGCTGCTGCTGATATGCTGCTGCTGATATGCTGCTGCTGATATGCTGCTGCTGTGCCCGCCCGATACCGTGCCCTCGACAAAATCGATTGAGGCTGAGCCGCTGGGGTGGGGAAGCAGGAGGGGGTGGGGGGGGGTCATGGGAGGGAAGAGCAGTGGCTCTATGCATGCCAGTTCATGTGATGCCATGGACGGGTTCAATTTTATGCCATGCAATGCAACATACGCCATGGAATGTCACGCCATGGAACGTCACGTCATGCCATGCTAAGCCATGCTAAGCCATGCCACCCCATGCCAAAGCCATGTCACCCCATGGGAATGCCATGTCACCCCATGCCATGCCACCCCATGCCAACCCCATGCCACGTGATGCCAGGTCACCAATAATGCCACGCAGTAACACGACTCACTAGTTGCTGCGGTGGTCAGCGAGGGTGGTGGAGCCATCAGGCGAGTAGGCCCAGATGATGGTGGTGGGGCCAAACGCATTGATGGGCACATGCCCCGTTCCCATGCTGCGCGTGAACCTGCAGGAGAGGGGAAAGGGGGGTAGGGGGGAATAGGGAGGGGATGGCTTGAACAATCAGAACAGAAACACATTGATGGGCACATGCCCCGTTCCCATGCTGCGCGTAAACCAGGGGGGAGGGCATGAGGGAGCGGGACGGTTAATAGAGAGCAGGAAGGTAGGGACGAGAGGGAAAGAACAGAAATGCATTGATGGGCACATGCCCCGTGCCCACGCTGCGCGCGAACCTGGGGAAAAGGGAGAGAGAGGCATTGAAACCGATAACGGATGAGAACAGACTCAAAAGGTAATGAGAGGCAGGATGGCACAAGCGGGAAGGCGCTGACACATGAGGAAAGGCTGTTGATCATTGTATTTTACACCTACCTCATGACAAAGTGCTCATCAGCAGTTGCGACATGGGCGTTGGTGAACTGCCTCGAGGAGATCCGAATACTTTCTCGTATTAACAGACAGTTTTCGACACGTGTGTGCATCTCATCTGCTCATCCTTTGACCTTACCGGATAATTGTGTAACCATTTTGACTGGTAACCGATGTATTGGTAACGCTCGCTCCACATGGTCGTCGGCTCACGGACAGCAGATCATGCCCACTCATGTGGTACGGTCCCACATCTCATGGCTGCTAGCATGGTCCCACATCGCATCTTCCTCACCTTATAATGGTGTAGCCGTTTTGACTGGTAACTGATGTATTTGTAACGCTCCACATGGCCGTCAGCTGCACCGATTGCAGATCGTGCCCGCTCATGTAATACGGCCCCACCGCTCAAGGCTGCTACTAGTGAGGCCCCACATCTCATAGCCACGTGAAATGAGTGTATTTTTGAGACATCATTTCACATCGCCATGTAATACGGCCCCACCTCTCAAGGCTGCTACTACGGCCCCACATCTCATCATCCTTACCTGGTAATGGTGTATCCGTTTTGGCTGGTAACCGAAGTGTTGGTAACGCTCCACATGGCTGTAGGCTGTACCGACTGCAGGTCGTGCCCGCTTATGTGTAGTTTATCTATAATGCTTAATCACTCACTTAATTATAGTGTTTCCAGTTGTAGTGGTAACTGAAGTGTTGGTAACGCTCCACACGGCTGTAGGCTGCACCGACTGCAGCTCATGCCCGTTCATGTGTAGTGTATGTATGAATAATGTATACTCACTTCATTATAGTGTATCCGTTTGCAGTGGTAACCGATGTGTTCGTAACACTCCACATGGCTGTAGGAGTCACGGACTGCAGTTCATGCCCGTTCATGTAATACGGCCCCACCGCCGCCCCGTTGGCCAGCGTGCCAGGTGGCACGTTCCCAATGGCCGCGTCAGAGTTGGGCATCTTGCCATCCTTTGAAAAGCCGACTCCAATGTAGCCTGTGGTGGCGACTTGTGCTGCCATGCTCACTGTGCTGTCCTTGTTGACCACCCAGTGCAGGATGTAGCTGGCGGGGTAAGAGGAGGGGCGGGATGGGAGCGTGGGGAATGAGGAGAGAAGCGAAGCGAGGGCGAGAGAAGGAGTGAAATGCAGCCCACTTTGCTGCCATGCTCACTGTGCTGTCCTTGTTGACCGCCCAGTGCAGGATGCAGCTGTAAGGAACGGAGGCAGAGGGAGGGAAGGCAGAGGGAGGGGAGGCAGAGGGGGGAGGGTGGCGACACGGAGAAAGAGAGTGTCAAGAGCGACGACGAGAGGGTCGGGGAGCAGCTATAGCGTTGTAGGGAGGTGCGGCGAGAAGGAAAGGTGAGGATTTTACAAGGTAACTGCGTCCCAGCATACGCCAACACAACAGCAAACCTGCTGCCATACTCCGTATTACTTTTCCAGCAGTTACAAAACAAAACCCCATTCCACTGAACTGAGCGGAGCACTTGTTTGTCGGGGAAAGAGAAACTGCTCATACTCAGAGAAACGGTTGAGATAGATACACCCCATGCACGCTTTCACACTGAGGTGACTTCTGAGTCGACTCAAAAGAGAAACGGTTGAGATAGATGCACCCCATGCACGCTTTCCCACTGAGGTGACTTCTGAGTCGACTCAAAAGAGAAACGGTTGAGATAGATACACCCCATGCACGCTTTCCCACTGAGGTGACTTCTGAGTCGACTCAAAAGAGAAACGGTTGAGATACACCCCATGCACGCTTTCCCACTGAGGTGACTTCTGAGTCGACTCAAAAGAGAAACGGTTGAGATACACCCCATGCACGCTTTCCCACTGAGGTGACTTCTGAGTCGACTCAAAAGAGAAACGGTTGAGATACACCCCATGCACGCTTTCCCACTGAGGTGACTTCTGAGTCGACTCAAAAGAGAAACGGTTGAGATAGATACACCTCATGCACTCTTTCCCACTGAGCTTAGTGGAGCACTTGTAGCCCGGGAGGGAGGCCGACTATTTATACTCGAAAGAAACAGCTCAGATGCTCTGCGTGGCACTCACGCATTCCCGCTGAGCTTAGTGGAGCACTTGTAGCCCTCGAGGGAGGAGGGCTGGCAGGCGGAGCCCTGGGAGGAGGAGGACCCGCTGCTGCTGCTGCCACTGCTGCCAGACGTGGAGCAGCTGTAGTCTATCTGCACGGATCCCCTGGTGGGCGGACACGACAGGGAGGGGAGAGGAGAAGAGGGTGTGAGGCGAAGAGGGAAGAGTGTTGGCAGGCAGACCCCTGGGAGGAGGAGGACCCGCTGCTGCTGCCACTGCTTCCAGACGCGGAACAGCTGTAGTCTATCTGCACGGATCCCCTGGTGGGCGGAAACGGGAGGCAAGAGGGAGGGAAGAGGAAGGGAAGAGGAAGGGAGAAGGAAGGGAAGAAGGGGTGTGAGGTGAAGGAGAGGGTGAGTGGGAGGAGGGGGACCCGCTGCTGCTGCCAGACGTGGAGCAGCTGTAGTCTATCTGCACGGATTCCCTGGTGGATGGGAGGAGGAGGAAAGAGGAAGGGAGGAGGAAGGGAGGAGGAGGGAAGAGGAAGGGAGGAGGAAAGGAAGAGGAAGGGAAGAGGAAGGGAGGAGGAAGGGAGGAGGAAGGGAGGAGGAAGGGAGGAGTAAGGGAAGAGGGCGTGAATGAGGTGCAGGTGACGGTGTCAGAGGTGCTGTGTGCATTCACGTGCTGTGTGCATTCACGTGCTGTGTGCATTCACGTGCTGTGTGCATTCACGTGCTGTGTGCATTCACGTGCTGTGTGCGTTCACGTGCTGTGTGCATTCACGTGCTGTGTGCATTCACGTGCGTCAGCCTGGTGTGCCAGCCTGGCACGTCAGCATGTGCACCCGCCCGAGCGTACTTCACATCACATACATGCTTCAGCTCGGAAAAAAACAGAGAGGGTGTTGGATGTGAAGTGCTGTGTGCACTCACGTGCGTCAGCCAGGTGCGTCAGCACACTTCACATACATGCTTCGGTTCAAGAAATGATAGAGACACTGCCACTGGGGAACTCTGCCATGGGTTGGGGGGTTCTGGGGGGTTCTTGAGGGGTTGGTGCGTTCTAGGCGGTTCTGGGTGGTTCTGGGAGGTTATGGGGGTGGGGGGTGCGTATATGTTTGAGCGAGGGTGCTGGGCGAGGGTCTGAGAGCCGTCCGAGTAGGCCCAGATCATGTAGTTGATCTCCCTTGAGCAGCACCTTCACTGTGCCGTCGTTCACTGACCAAGCTGGGACGTTCTCGGGGGTTTTGTGCGGTTCTGGGACGTTCTGGGTAGTTCCGGGAGCTTCTAGGGAGGTTCTGAACGGTTCTGGGGGGTGCTTACATGTTGGAGCGGGGGTGCTTACATGTTGGAGCGGGGGTGCTTACATGTTGGAGCGGGGGTGCTGCGAGAGGGTCTGAGATCCATCCGAGTAGGCCCAGATCATGTAGTTGACTCCCTTGAGCAGCACCTTCACTGTGCCGTCATTTACTGACCGCGAGAACCTGCAGTCGGGCACACAAACGAGGAGCACAATAACGGGTACAACAAGTGCACATGTTGGATCTGGATTGTTGGAAAAGGAACTGCAAGTTGTTAAAAAGAGACAGACTGAGAGAGTGAGGGCCATCGGCCATCAAGAGAGCACATGGGAATCGGCGAGCAGCACATTATAGGGTGTCCCTGGGAATGTGCAGCGAATTCAAGGGTATCCAGTGAAACATGCAGCGCATTTGAGCGCGTCCCTGCAGCGGATTCAAGAGTATGCAGTGAAACGTGCAGCGCATTTGCGGTGAATCAGAAGGCATCATGACTAACGCGCAGCACAAAAGCAGCTCACCTTCATGATGGGCGAATTGTCCGCGTGCGCGGTCAATGTGTATGTGGCCTCCTCGGATGCATGCGAAATCCGACTCTTAGTGTGCTGTGCTACTTGGAAAGAAAAGAATCAATCACTTCACGGTAATCGAATTGTTTTTGAGACGTCTCAAAAACACCCTCATTTCACGTAATCACTCACTTCATGGTAATTGAATTGTTTTTGAGACGTCTCAAAAACACCCTCATTTCACCTAATCACTCACTTCATGGTGATTGAATTGTCCGCGTTCGTGTTCATCATGGCCTCGGTCCCGGCATTCCCAATGCTGAAGTTAAGCGTGGGAACCACCTCAGCCATGGAGTAGTAACCCAAGTAATAAGGATTCATTTTCCCGCCTGGCAGATTGCCGATCACCGCTTCTCCCGGGATCATCCTGCCGGACGAACCCGACCATCCGACGGCGAACCAGCCATCTGCAACCGGCCCGGCAAGCGCTTGCGCGGCGAAGTTGACGGTTGTGGAGTTGACGGTCTTCCAGTGAAGGACGAGACTGACGCGCGGCGAGACGGGGAGAGGGGAGGAAGAGGGGAGGGTACACGGGGTAGCGAGATGGAAGGATAAGAACAATTGACCTGGAGAGATTGAAGAAACGAAGGGGAGTTCAATGACAGGCAATTTAATTCGAGATCGTTTGTGAATGGTAAGGTTTTACCCGCGATCGTTTAATTTGACGGAATAATCGTAGTCCGGCAAAGACGACGGGTCGCACTTCACGCCGCCATATCCTCCTCCTCCTCCCCCGCCGCCGCTATTGTCATCACCGCCGCCTTCTGAGCCATCGTACTGTGCGGCCACTAGAGCCCTGAACGGCAGCGCCGACAGACACGACACGAGGACGACTAGTAGCATGGATCTCTGAGTTAAAGTCATCGCGTGCGTATTCCCAGCGTAGGCGATCAAATTGAAATTGTTGTGCGTATTTCAGGAGTTGAAATTGTTGTGATTGGACCACGGAAAGCGTAGCTTGGATGACGCTGACCTCTCAGTCCCAAACACGTATTGAGGTGATAAAAACTTTTTGGGATGAAGGATAAAACTTTGCTAGGAACACGAACAATGACGAAACGTCAGGGAACAACCAAGGCTGTCGAGGAACAATGCGTTTTGCTGCGACTGGTCCTGAACCGGCTCCAATAATGGCGCGAGCCTGCTTTCGACTGTCACGCAGCAGCAGCAACAAGAGGCCAGCGGGATGCACGGTGGTGAGGTGACCACACAAGTGCAGCACGAGAGGAGGGAGAAATTGAGTAAAGGTTTGGACATTAGGCTGGTATGGAATGGTACGGAACGTTATAGATAGGTGGGATGGGATTCTGGAATTGCAGGACTATCTCTATGTACGACACGATCCCGTTCAGTCTTGTTCGGCACGGCATGCCTAGCTCCCACCAGGCTTGGTCAAGAACCTAGACCATCTCCAGGTCCGGCAGTAACGAAGGTTCGGGCATACAGCAAACCGTTACTGTCTCGCGGAGAATGTAAGTGTTACGAGTGCAATTGAGTGAACGAACGAGAAATGCACTATCGAAGCAAGAGTACAATGGGCGAAGGCATGAGCGGAGAATATATAGCGAAACTACAGTGGTAACGGTAATGGACTGTGGTTGTCGCGCAACGGGCCTGGGACTGAGGTTGGGAAAAAAGTGTCGAAGCGGAGGCCCGGAGCGCGGGTTACCCGCCGACGTGAGGTCGGGGTGCGACGTGCGAAGGTGGCGGGCGGATTATCGATGCGAGGGTTGCGAGTGGTAACGGTGCTGACTGTGGTGCTATAGTGATGTACGCGTTGAGCAGGGATGCAAAGTAAGGAAAAGGAATTTTCCTTACACTACCCCCCCCCCCTAAGGAGGTCCTCCTTACGAAAGTGCGTGTACATCCCTGAAATTTCGGCTACGCAGATACTCGGTGAGGACGGGGTGGTTTTCGATTCTGTCTAGGGGAACCCAATTGTCTTCGGTGGGTGTACGGTCCTTCCAGCGGAGTAAGAACTCGATCCTTCAGGCTCCTCGAGGGTCGCGAACTCAGTGACTCAGGATTTTTTCGGGGGTGATGATTGGTTCAGTTGGTGGTCTTGTCATGTTGGCTGGGCGATTGCGTGGCAGTTGGCTCGTGGATGGGACGTAAGGGCGAAACAGGCTGACGTGGAATGAGGGGCTGACGTACCAGTCAGCAGGGAGGAGGAGGTGGGCGGTGACGGGTGTAAGCATATGGCTTATGCGAAATGGCCCGCAGTATCGGGGGCGGAGTTTCGGGGTGATGGGCAGTCGGAGGTTCTTAGTGTCAAGTAAAACTAAGTCGTCAGGCTGGTAAGTGACAGGTCTGCGGTGGCGGTCGGCGTTGCGTTTAGCGATGATGTTCGATTTTTTTATTGCGTCTATTTCCCGGGTCCGTGCCGCTTGTAATATTTAGGCAAACTGTTGTGCTCGTGGTACTGGGTTGTCGGGATTCGGGGTCATGGGTACTGTCGGCTCTTGTCCGTAGTTTAGGTAAAATGGTGACTGTTGGGTCATGGCGGATGGTGAGTTGTACGTGAATTCGATTAGTGCCAGTTGTTGTTCCCACGTGGTCGGGTTGTCACACGTGACCCTGATGAGCTGTTCCATGGTCTGATTTGTCCATTCTGTCTGTCCGTCGGTTTCGGGGTGGTATGATGAACTGAACTGCAGTCGCGTGCCGAACTGCTGCCACAGGTTCCGCCAGAAGTTGCTGGTGAATTTCGTGTCGCGGTCGCTGATGATCGCGGCTGGTATCCCGTGCAGTCGAATGACGGTGGAGATGAAGAGGCGTGCTGTTTCTTCGGCTGTGATTGATTTTTTGCAGGCTGCGAAATGTGCCATTTTCGTCAGTCGATCGACGACGAACAGGATCGCGTCGTTTCCACTCGCCCCGGCCGGTAACCCCGTGACGAAGTCCATCGTCACCTGCTGCCAATCACGCTCTGGGGGTGGTATCGGTTGCAACTGTCCCGCCGGCCGCTGTCGTGTTGATTTCATGAGCTGACAAGTGGGACACGATGCCACATGTCGTTGTACGTCGGTCAACATTTCGGGCCAGTAATAATACCGCTGCAGCTGCTGCCGTGTTTTTTCTACTACGAAATGCCCCGAGGTAACTCCGTCGTGTGTCTCCTGTAACTGTAATTCCCGTAGCAGTGTATACCCAGGCACCCAAATGCGGTCAGTCCCGGTTTTTATGTAATAGACTCCCCTTGCTACTGCGAACTGCTGCGAATTTCCTCCTGTGAAGAATGGATCCGTTTGGTACCCGTGGGTGAATAGGCCTGTCAGTAGAGGGCTTGTCTGGGCGAGTAGTATGTCAAACTCATATGCTATAGTCTGTGTAGGCTGTAGTGGGGTACACAATATGGGGTACAACACTTTTAGGTTTTCCTACTTGTACCCACCTTCTTGCTAGTTCATTCCTTCCTCATTTCTTCACATGGTATATAGCAGGTTCCCTAGTGGGAACGCTTCCTAGGGCCCACCACTGAAAATCGAAAATATTTTTTTTTTTTTTCTGACCGGAGCGCGAGTCGCCCCTGCCCGAGGCGCGCCCCGTTGGCCGCCCTCACGTCGCGTCCCCTGCCCTTAGTGGCCTGTCGCGCCCTCCTAGAGGCCCCTCTCACAGCCCCTCGCGCCACCCTTAGCGGCCCTGTCGCCACCCCTTACGGCCCCGTGGCCGTCCTTTGCGGCCCCGTCGCCGCCCCTCTAGGCCCCTCGCGGCCCCTTGGCAGCCACGTCGCCGCCCCTCTAGGCCCCTCGCGGCCCCTTCGCGGCCCCGTCGCCGCCCCTAGCGGCCCCGTCCCCGCCCTTCGAGGCCCCTCGCGACCCCTTTCGGCCCCGTCACCGCCCCTAGCGGCCCCGTCGCCGCCCCTATCGGCCCCGTCGCCGCCCCTAGCGGCCCTGTCGCCGCCCCTAGCGGCCCCGTCGCCGCCCTTCGCGGCCCCGTCGCCACCCTTCGCGGCCCCGTCGCCGCCCCTAGCGGCCCCGTCGCCGCCCTTCGCCGCCCCGTCGCCGCCTCTAGCGGCCCCGTCGCCGCCCTTCGCGGCCCCGTCGCCGCCTCTAGCGGCCCCGTCGCCGCCCTTCACGGCCCCGTCGCCGCCTCTAGCGGCCCCGTCTCCGCCCTTCACGGCCCCCTTCAGCCGCCAAGCAGCCGAGCCGCCGAGCCACCGAACTGAGAAAAGTTGAACGAGAAATGGGGATGACTAAGTGAAAGTTGGGTACAAATGCAAACCCTAGAAAGCTGTACCCCATATGTGCTACCCCACTATAGCCTACAATAGCTATGTCATATATATCTGACACACCCCCATAGGCAAAGTGGGGGAGAACAAGGGGTCACAAGACCAGTCAAGCAAAGCAAAGCAAAGCAAGCTCAGGGTGGATCACAAAGTCACCACACAGTCCGAGCACAAGGTCAAGGCCACAAGGCCAGTTCACATGCAGGAGTGCACATATATATATAACACTAAACAAGCAAGAGCAGGTATATATATATGCAAGAGTACAAGTAAGATCAAGAGGTGAGCAAGTGAGGTAAGACAGGTACAAGTCCCAGCTGAGTGCAGAAGCGCTGATGATCACAAGGCGGAAGTGCCTTGGTGAAAACATCAGCAGTGTTGGCCTCAGAGGCCACGTACGCAAGCCGCAACTGACCACGCTGCTGCAGCTCACGAGCAAGAAAGTAGCGGAGAGCAATGTGCTTCGTTCTGTGCTCCAGGCGCTGCTCTCGACACAAGGCCAGCATGGCCTTGTTGTCTACGTACAGCACTGGAGGAGAACGAGGCAGCTCTCCAAGGTCAGTCAGCAGGTAGGTGAGCCAGCGAAGCTCCTGAGCAGCCATGGCCCCGGCGTAGATCTCAGCCTCACAACTGGAGCCGAGAACAGAAGACGAGCGAGTAGCCCGCCACGAAACAGAGCCGGAACCAAGACTGAAGGTGTAACCCTGTGACGACCGCTGAGTAGCCTGGTCGTCAGCCCAAGAAGCGTCCGCGTGCCCAGTGAGGACCACTGGACTCCGCCCTCCAAGCACTAGCCCCATGCCCGACGTACTGCACAAGTAGCGCAACACCCTCTTCTCTGCAGCCATGTGCTCTGGTCGGTGTCTCCCAGGAGCAACATAGCGTGCAAGAATGCTAAGAGGGTATGCAAGGTCAGGTCGTGTGCAGGTCATCAGGTACATGAGGCAGCCAACAAGCTCTGGGTACGGGCCACTCGACTCTACGGACTCATCCGAAGGCAGAGCTGAGAGCGAGTGGCGAGTAGACAGAGGAGTGGCCTGAGGCGAGGAGTACGTGAAGCCGAAGTGCTGAAGAACCTGCTGCACCATGTGTGTCTGAGTCAAGGTAATGGTGCGTCGTGCTCTGTCCCGAGTGATCTGCAAGCCAAGGTAGCTGCGCAGTTCACCCAGGTCTGTGCACGTGTGTCTCTTCTGCACATCGGACTTCACGTAGGCGAGTCCAGCAGTGTCCGCTGTGGCAAAGACCAAGTCGTCAACGTACACGAGGATGTAGAACGGCGGCAGAGAAGTGTCGGTGCGCAGAAACAACGACGGGTCAGCAGTAGAGGGAGCAAACCCAAGAGCCGCAAGTGTGGTCCTCAGTGTGTCGTGCCACTCACGCGGTGCCTGGCGGAGACCGTTGACTGGCCGTCGGAGGCTCCACTGGGTGCCAGGAGGGAAAGTCCTAGTGAAGCCAGGTGGACGGCGCAGCCAGATCTCCTCGTGCAGGCTACCCTGCAAGAAAGCAGTGCTGAAGTCAAGAGAGTGGAGCTCGTAGTCGCGCTGAGCGGCTATGTGCAGCAGCACCCGAAGAGTGGTCATCTTCGGGGTGGGAGAGAAGGTCTGAAAGTAGTCAACTCCCTGCCGCTGACTGAAGCCACGAGCCACGTACCGCGCCTTGAAGACAGGTGGAGAGCCCGGCGGCCGCTTCACCCTGAAGATCCACATGCCACTGACGATGTTCGCCCCAGGAGGGGGAACCGTGTCAACGTAGGTGCCTGTGGACTTCCAGGAAGTCATCTCTGCATCCATAGCTGCCTGCCACTGAGAGGAGTAGGGATCCTCTACGGCCTCCGCGTAAGAGCGCGGAGTCGGGATGTCTAGTGCATCCGGGTCTCCCTCAGGGACAAGTAGTACGGACGCGAGATGAGGTGAAGCAGCAGCCAGACACTGGAACTCCTCCTGCCTGTCCTCAAGGACATCCGTGCCAAGGGCACACTCACCCCCGACGGACGGAGGACAGACAGACGCAGACTCAGCAACAAGACTGGCAGCGTAGTCTAGACGACAGCGAGCAGCAAAGTCGACGAGCTCAGGAACAAGCGCAGACGCAGCAGTGGACTCAAAGGAAGGGTCAGTGACAACAGTAGCAAGGAGACGCGTGACAGTAGGACTGGCAGCATGAAGAAAGTCCGACTCCGGGTCGGCAAGTGCAGGAAGAGAGGACTCAGGAGGAGAAGGCAAAGGGGCACGCAGAGGAGCAGTGGACGGACGCAGAGACATCCGGTGGGTGCCAGGGACAGGAGGAGGACGCTGACGCGAACCGCGACCACTAGCGCGAGCAGCACGAACAGGCGACGCGGGATGAGACGCAGGCTCACGACACTCAGCAAGACCTCCAGTAGGACCTGTGTAAGGAGAGGGAGCAGGAAGTGGGGAGGCGGGCTCTAACTGTGACTGTGACTAGACAGGCGGTGGACACTCTACAAGAGGAGAAAGACCAAGAACCTGCTGCAGGAGCAGAACGAAGTACGGCCGAGGCCGCGCGGCAACTCCAGACACAGCAGGGACATCACCAACACCCTCAGCGGCAGCACCAGCGCCAACAGCACCTCCAGCTGCAGGACCTCCAGCAGCACCAGCAGCACCCGCAGCAGGACCACCGCCAGGAAGGACAGCAGCAGTCTCAGCACCAACACCCTCAGTAGCACCAGCGCCAGGCGGACCCGAAGGCCCAGGAGCCCCGGGACCGGCGGCACAAGTATCCTCAGCGGCCGAAGAAGCTCCAGCTCGAGCAGTACGCCTCCAGCGGCGAGCAAACCACTCGCGCAGCTCCTGTGGAGAGAGTGGCTCCCGCCGAGATGAAGCACCCGGAGAGCCTCCAGGCCCCGCACCGCCAGACGCCAGAAGGGGAGGTCCAGTGGCCGCAGGCTCCGCAACTCCAGGCTCAGCAGCACCCCCTGGCTCAGCAGCTCCTGACGTAGCACCCCCAGGCTCAGCACCCCCAGTCGCAGCACCCCCAGGCTCAGCACCCCCAGACTAAGCACTCCCAGGCTCAGCACCCCCAGGCTCAGCACCCCCAGTCGCAGTACCCCCAGGCTCAGCACCCCCAGGCTCAGCGCCCACGCGCGCAGCACCCCCAGAGTCAGCACCCCCAGGCTCAGCACCCGCAGCAGTACCAGAGTCACCAGCAACCTCGACCGGCTCGACTGCGTCTACCTGGGACACACCTGAAGGGGCAGGACCCTGAGGGGGAAGGGGGTCTACCTGGGGGGGACCTGGCACAAGGAAGTGCGGTGGCGGGGGGAGGGAAGGAGTGCGGTAGGGGAAGAGGCGGTAGAAGGGGACTGACTCGCCGAACGTGACGTCCTGGGAGGACAGAACACGACGAGAGGAGGGGTGGTAGAACTGCCACCCTGGGGCGTCAGGGGGGGAAGCCTAGGAAGACACAAGGAGCAGCACGAGGGGACAGCTTGTCCGCAGACAAGTCGCGGACAAACGCCCGAGATCCCCAGACACGGAACGCAAACGCATCGCCGACCTTCCCCGTCCACAGCAGAGCTGGGGAGGTCTCCGGCCGGGAGACCCTGGGGTGAAGGTTGATTTGATGCGCCGCGTACCGAACCGCAAACGACCACAGAAAATGGGGGGCAGCCGCATGCATCATGGACGTACGAGCGACGTCCATGACCATGCCAATGCGGCGCTCAGCAATCCCATTTTGCTGTGGAGAGTCCTGGAAGCGTTAAAGGTCTGGCGGATGCCTCGTGCACGATAGTAGGCTCGCAGAAGGCCAGAGGAGAACTCTCCACCTCGGCCAGAGTGCAGACGTAGGACAGGAAAGTCCGAGCCGAAGCTCCTCCTGAGCTGGAGACGAGCTGCGCGGATCCAGTCGATCAACACCTCAGTGACATCACCCTTGCTGCGCAAGGGGAAGACTGTGGTGTAACGCGAGTAGTCGTCAACCACCAGCAGGAAGTAGCGCTCGTGACCCTGTCGACGGACGCGGGCCGGGCCCCACACGTCCATGTGAAGCGTCTGCAGAGGAGCCTCCGTCGGAGGAAACTGGGAGGAGTGGGGGGCAGCCCGGAGCCGCCCTTCGACACAGGGGACACAGGAAGGTCCAGGCCCCGAAGGAAGGGGAGGGAGGGACCGGGGGAGACCAGAGACAAAGACACGGGAAGCCATGTCCCGAAGACGAGGCAATGAGGGGTGGCCAAGACGGTGGTGCCACAGGAGAGTCTCGTGAGACAGGAGGCGACACGAGCAGGGGGCAGACTCAGGACCAGACCTGGACGCAGCAGCAAACACCTGACCCGACGCAGCTACCTGGCCAGACGCAGGGACAGGAGGAGACTCAGTGGTCAGGGTGTAGAGACTCGACCCCGACCGACGCGAAAACGTGGCTAGGTGTCGGCCTGTGCGGGCGTCCGAGCAGTGGTTCACCCGCTGACTCGCAGGAGTAAACTGGTGAACCCCCGCATCCTGCAGGTCAGCACCACTCACCAAGTTCGTCGAGAACGAGGGGAGGTACAGACCAGACAGGGTGCCCGAGGGGGCAGCCGGACACGGGAGGACAGTGGAGAAGTGAGAGAGGACAGGGCCCCCAGAGGGGTCAGCCAGGGAGACTGCAACCGGCCGACCAAGCGGCGTGAGTGTGGTGCGGTCTCGAAAGAAGGAGCGAGAAGCCCCTGAGTCAAGTGTGAAGGTGAGGGAGGCCGAAGCCGACGCAGTACCTGAGAGCGCAGCCTCACCAGTACCTGAGAGCGCAGACGCACTGGCACCTAGAGCAGCAGCCTCACAAGCACCTAGCGCAGTAGTACCAATGCCCGGGTTGGGCGGGAAACACCGGTAACAGTCACCCTCATCACTATTAGTCACAGCATACATGGCAGCAAGGATAGCATCAATGTCAAGATCAAAGATAGCTACGCCAGCCCTAGACAGCTCTCCCCAGCG